ATATTCTATATTGCCATTACCTTGGGGGCTATACCTCTGTGGACTGCAGTTGAGAGACGTGTGTAAACATCTCCCGTCAGATGGATGAAGGCTGGTTTGTCTCATCACACACAGTCGCAGTCTCCTGACTGCACTGTGGCCACTGTCCCTTCATTCTCCTGCATGCCCCTAGTTGGGTGCCTCCTCACCACACATGCACAATCAGTGCCCGTCATCCCAGAGCTCCCCTCTGACCTCTTGTCCTTCCCTTTGCACCTCAGCCTGTATCTGCACCAGCGCCAGAAAGTACATATCTACACACCATAATACAGCATGGCTCTTCTGAAACCCTCTTTTTTAAAAAGTTTTTTAAGAAGTTGTCAGTGAACCTTTTATTTATTTATATGTGGTGCTGAGAATTGAACCAAGTGCCTTACTCATGCCAGGCAAGCACTCTGCCCCTGAGCCCCAGCCCCAGCCCTTCTGAAACCCTCTTGCAGCTCTGCTTCTTACGGATTGCACTGCCCCCATTCTGAGGCTTGCACAAACACCTATCCAGTTTGGCTTCTTATCTCCGTCTAGATGCAGCTCCACTGCTCCCTAGGGTCACCCTCCTGCCATATGCCCTCAGTACCCAGGTGCACCCTTGCCAGGGCCTGTGAGCCAGTAGTTGAGTTGTGTTTATCTCCCTCCCTTGGCTTTTCTGGTCTTACTTCCAGGGGTTTCTGCCTCAAATTGCAGTCCACCTACAGTCTCCTTGGTGTGCACATGACCATGCTATTTCAGTTGGGCTGGCCTGTCCCTCTGAAATGGAGGGATACTGCTGCATGTAGTAAAGGCTTAGCCATCTCAAGTGCCCCCACTTCATGGAAGCCTTGTGCTTGATTATGTTGACTACTGACACTTTGTCAGAGCCCTGASAGCATCCCAGACCTAAGGACTCTCTACAATTTGGATGGTTGGGGTGGGGGTGCCCTGCCTGCCAAACCCCTTCATGTGGCCCCATGTGTGCCCAACTTGGAATGAAGGGATCCTCTGGTACATTCTCTGCCACTCCCTCCATCAGTATTGCAGGGTACCCACCAGGAGAGCCTTCAGCTTGGCTGGAGAGCTCCATGTGGCAAGAATAAGGAGAAGGTGATTAATCTGGACTCCTGCACCTTTGAATGCTCTGTCCACTTGCACAGTTTGGCTTCTTACCTCCGTCTAGATTTGTTCCTCTGCATTTGTAGAAAAGTAGTCCCAGGACCCACAGATACCAAATCCACATGTGCCTGTGTCGCTTGAGCAACACAGCTCAGCATTTGCATAGAATCTGCTTACAGCCTCGCATACACTTTACATGTCTCAGGGTTACTTGTGGCACTAGTGCAGCATAAACACCATGTGGATAGTTAGTTGTTACACAGTATTGCTTAGAGGAAGAAAGGCTGTCTGTGCCCAGTATAAAGACAGTGTCTCTTCTGAATATTTTTCACCTATGGTCATGAGCTGTGGGTTCAGGACTGGTAGGCACAGAGTCCTGGCTAAATACCACCTTCTGTGGGCCCGAGCCCCTGCTGCTATTCCTTAACCTTTCTCCCTGCTGCCAGCTTGGAGGTACTGCTGCTCCCACCTCTTCCCCATGCCATGGTCCGTGAGCTTCTCTGCTCCCCTTTCTTTCCTGTTCATCCACCTCTGCTTCCCATATTGTATTTGCTTTTAAGAACAGCTATCCCCCAAATCTTTCTCTTATCACCCCAGTTTTTATTTCAGCCTTTGATCCACAAAGGCTTTTTCTTGTTTCTGCCAAACTTGTTTCTTGTTTCAGGTGTTTCTTGGTTTGCAGAAGCTTGTCTTTTAGCAGACTTCTCACAAAGCCCATGACAACTGCATTGGCATTGCTTACGATTTTGAATATCTAAAACGCAGGCTTTGAAGGCCTGTCTGACTGAGAGGAGGCCCTGCGGCCATGCTGTCCTCAGGAATTTGTGAAGACATGGCCCCTCTGGCCTGTGGAGTCGGAGTCCTTGCCTAAGCCGAGTGCGCTGCTCCTCTGCCTGCACACTGTGCTAGAGAACCCTCTCTCTGTCTCACTGGTCTCCGTGCCTGTCTGGAGGCCACCACCATGGGCCGGTTTGCACGGGTGTGGGATAAACCTTCTCACTGTGAGTCTTTTTCCCCTAAAACTTTGGTAAGGGTTGATTTAAGTGTTGGCTCTCCTTTCACTTCTTGCCTGGTGCTCTGTACTTCTCTTTGATGGCTGCTACCTGCTCTGCCTCATTTTCTCTGGATGGCTTCCAGTGCTCCCTGCACAGTCAATTGAACGGTTCCCCTTTGGGCCCTGTAACAGTCTTTATTTCCAGGCCTTGTCCTTTTCTTCAGTTCTGCTTAGATTTTGTTTAGCAGCTCCCAGTTTTGTCTGCCTTAGCGCTCCATTTGCATTTTACAGTGTTGTAGGTCTTTGCTCTAGTGATCTCACATCTGCTTCTGCCTCGGTCCTGGAATGCTGATTGGTACTCCCCATCTTGCCGTGGGGTTCTGTCATTGCTGATGGGATTCACTTTGAGGCAGTCCTGTGCCACAAAGGATTTTCTGTGCCTGTCTTCTCTCTTTTAAAAGCACACAGTTTCCTGCACCAGCTGTAGCAGGGAAGGGTGTGTTGAGGGATGAGGCTTGGGCTTACTTGTTCTTTTCTTTTCTTTTCTTTTCTTTTCTTTTCTTTCTTTCTTTCTTTCTTTCTTTCTTTCTTTCTTTCTTTCTTAATATTTAATTTTTAGTTGTAGTTGGACACAATACCTTTATTTTGCTATCTGTATGTGGTGCTGAGGATTGAACCCAGGGCTTTGTACCTGCTAGGGAGTGCTCTGCTGCTGAACAACAACCCCATCCCTTACTGGTTCTTTTCTAGGAAGCATCCTTTTTCTGTTGGTCAGCAAATGCAGTATTCATATTGTTTTAAAACTGTATTTTTAGAGATGGGATTTAATCAGTGTGCCTTCTGATGTCTCAGTGTTCCTTTATTCATGTGGGAAACTCAAGTCCATTCTTCCTGAACCCTTCTCTTTTCTACCCCAGCTCCCATTTCTCTTCCTGCTCTGAAGCACTTGTCCCAGTGTCACACCCTTCTGTGCCCTTCCTGTGGATTTCCTGCAGTCGGTGTGTTGACCCCTGAGGTCAGCTGCTCCATTTTTGTACTTCTGGGTGGAACCTCACTTCTTGGGGTGTGGATCAGTGTGTTCTGCTGCTGTGACCTGGCAGGGCTTGCCCCTTTCCATTGTGGTTTTGCCATTGGCAGAGCACACAGGGATCTGGCCATTTAACTCTGGGGTCTTCCAGATACAGATTGGTGTGTCCTTTCTCTTGCCTCATATTTTATTGACAAGTGGATTCTCAGTTCTTCTGGTGAAAAAAACCATCCTGGCTACAGAATTCTGAGGCCATTGGACAAGGGACGGAAGGCCCCATGTGCAGCCTGTTGCTACACTCACCCCAGCTTTTGACACTTCTTCATCTCTAAAACGTTCATGGTTGTGAGTTTGGGGCCTGAGTGTGCCACCTGAGAGAAGGGGCCTCCAGGCCCTCCGCTAGTGACAGAGAGGGCCAAGGACTGCAAGTCCTGAGGCTCCCCAGCCAGGCTCACTTGGTGCTCCTGCTCCTGCAGACCAGTGGTGGAGGCCTCTCCTCGTGGGCTCGGGTCCCAGCTTCCTTTGTCGTCCCACCTGCTCACTGCTGGTTCACCCTCTCCCGGCTGCCAGTCTGTTGGCCACCCAGTTGTTCTCCTCTCCCAGCTGCTGAGCTCCTGAGGTGTGTGCCTCTTTGTTTGTCAGGATCATTTCCCTGTTCTCTGTAGGGAGGAGACRCACGCCTGTGAAATCTGAGACTTTTAACAGGAGATATCTTGCATTATTTTCTCTTTTTTCCTTAACTTTTGAGTATTACCTTGTGTGTTTTTTAAAATTTTTAAATTGAGATGTAGTTCATGTGCCATAAGTCCACTCTCTTAAAGTGTGCATCAGTGGCTTTGGTCTGTCCCACACGTGGAGCTCAGGGCCCAGCTCTACAGCTGTGGTCTCCCACCCTCTAGCCAGTGGCACTCTCAGCCCTCTGCTGCACCAGTGCAGTGGCCTTCCCTGGTGAGGGAGGAGGGAGAGGGGTTTTCCTTCAGCCTCATCCTTCATGGGATCTTCTTGCATTGGGTTTTTTTTTGTTTGTTTGTTTTCTGCACTTGAAAGCTCCTGCTGTGGTGGGATGTGACATACTAGGGAAACCACTTCAGGAAGAACCATTGATGGCTGCCATGTGGCTCAAAAGAAAGGCCCTGTCGTTCAGCATGGGCTCTGATTACCACTGATCACAGTTCCAGGTGCTGGACACTGTAGTCAGTGTGCCTTTAGGATGCCCATGGCAGTGGTTTGTGGGGACCATAAGTATGCACCTGTGGAGCAGATGACCAAATGCATCAAGGAGGATGATGTTCTGAAGTGAGTGCTTGTGGCTGGGAATCCAGTTTCCAGTGTTGGCAGCAAACCTGAATTCTAAAAGCACAAAAGTCAAAAATATAAACTGAGTTGAAAATGAGACGCTCTGGAGAAGCACTAGGTTGTGCCGAGGGTGACTCCCGAGGGCAGAGTTGCAGGCTCGGGTTGGAGAGATTGAAGGGAATTATCTCACTGGCTGTGAAAGTGGGACGCAGCGATGTACTTAAATTAATTTTCATTTAATAACTGTCATTTCAAAGTCAGGGTGTACACAGATAAAAACACTAACATAAGTAGAACATTTATGTGATCTGTCAAAACATTTCTTCTGGGTCACCCACTGTGAGGTGGACGCCACCCAGTACAGCACTGCTGCTTGGGCTACACCAGGCAGCATTCTTGGGGCCAGCTCTGCTGACACACGTCTCCTCACACAGGTCTCGGACTTGGATGCTTCAGAGATGGGCACTGTTCTGTCGAAAGCAAGAAATGATCACCAAACCCTGTCCTAAGGACAGGACCATGCACTGGAGCTCACGTGCTCCCATGTTTGTCTTTCAGGTAGGCGGGCACTGACTAGCCAGCCCCTCTGCAGATTCCGTTCTGGCGATGATGCTCTGAGCCCAGTGCACCTGGCATTCACATCTATGGACCTGCTCTGAACCATAGAGCCTGCCTATGGGGGAAGGTGAGTTGCTGTGAAGTCCCCTCTGTGTGCTTGCTTGTTCATCAGGGACGTGGGCCACCGAGCCAAGTTCACCCCTGAGGAATGCAGCTGCTGGAAGTGGCACAGTCCCGCCTCCTTCCCTGCTTTGGTTCTTGATGGGCCCTGAGGTTCTGCTATGTCGGACTTTGGGGGAAGGGTCCCTCGTTCCAGCGTCCATGGGCTGGTTGTGGTTGCACACCCTCATGTCCCAGTCTGCCCATGGCCACTTACCCAGAGTTGCCTGGGAAGCTGGGGAAGTGGGAGGGAAGCCCTGAATGTTGAGCAGAAGACTGTTCTGGGTGCTGAGGCCCCTGGAGGGTGTCTGAGATTGGGTCCTTAGAGCCCAGGGCAGGGCAGCATTAGGAGGGGTACTTTTGTGCCACCTGATGCCACCCTGTGGCTGTGGTCCCTGTGGCTTTCCCAAGCCTGGTGTAGGAAAGGGCAGAAATCAATGAAATGGGGGACACCGAAAGAAAGAAAATGGCAGAGCTAAAAGCTGGTGTTCTCTTAAGGAGTAGTTAGCCCTCTGATAAGAGGGTTCAAGAAAATGGAGGGGTGATACTGATAAGAATCAAAGGCACAAAAATAAGGAATGACAACTGAGAAGAAGGCTTGCAGTACTGTAATGGCCACATGTCAACACAACTGAACACTTGAAAGAAACGGATAACTTCCCAGGAAAGTTACAGTGCCAAAATAGACTTGAGAAGAGAGAGAGAACTTGAGTGGGCCAGTTCACATTTAAATTATTATCAAAGACTTGCCTTTCATAAAAGCCCTCACTCGTGTGTGTCACAGATAGTTGTACCCAGCTTTAAGGACCTCTAAGGCTTCTAACTCACATAGGCCATCCCAGAAAGCAGAGAAGGAGAGCCCCCAGCACTCAGACCAATACAAATCGATCTCAACTCCAATATCATGTAATGTTTACAAAGAAAGAGCAAGCCCAGGTTATTGGAACTATGCCTAAAAATCCAATATGAGATATGAATGTATCAAAATCAAAGTACATTTAAAACAAATAAAGAAAATATTATGATTTAATAGGGTCCACCATAAGATTTCAAACAATCTTTGTGCTATTCACTAGTTAAGTGGACTGGTAAAGAATAATAACAGGCTTAACTCAACTAATGCAGCACAGGTTATGAAGTCCATGCCGTCAATGGCAAGAGCTTCTAACAAACCAGGAGTTTAGAGCTCCAGCCTTGGCCCAGGAACCCATCACACCACAAATATTGTCTTGGTGGCGAATGTTAGATGCCTTCACCCAAGGTCAGCAACAAGGCCAGGGTGAGCTCTGCCACCACAGTGCAGCCTTCCTCATGTACAGGGACCATCACAGGAATACGGAGGGTAGATGTAACACTGGCATTCTTTGCAAACAGGTGTGATGATCTGTTCTAGAAAAGTCAAGAAAATCAAAACCTACTAGGACAAACAGAATAGTTTAGCAGAACCCATGAGGTGTCCAGAAGTTAACCCGAGTGAGGGTGCACAGGACTCGGTGGCAAAAGCTAATGCTCTAAGAAGCACTTGGAGGACAAGAGTGGAGTGAGATGTTCACAGCCTGTCTTGGGAGAGTTGATAACATAAATGTGTTGGTTTTCCTTACTCAATTCACAAACACATTGGGACCGCAATCAAAATTCCAGGTGGATTTTGAAGAACTCAGTAAACCTTTAGAAGTTTACTTCTGAACATGAAAATCCAGAGGTTTCTGGAGATTTGAGATGAGTTTTGTCAGCATTAGAGAAGACTGAAGCCAGAAGGCCCGAAGGTCTAGAGTCAAGGTTACCAAACAGTGTGCTGACTGCATCGAATCAGATGGAGACCCAAGTGCAAAAGGTGAAAACCATGGAATTGATTTTAAAAAAGCTTAAATGCATTTATTACCTGGGACATAAAAAGGAATTCATAAATAACACAAAAAAAGCAAAAATGATAACAAAAGTTTGGTAAGTTGAGTTATACCAAATTAAAGATTTCAAAAAAGCAGCAACTCAGGAGGCAGCCTCAGCAAGTTCAAGGACAGCCTCAGCAACTTGGCAAGATCCTGTGCCAGTCATAAGTAAGTAAGTAAGTAAGTAAATAAATAAGGCTGGGGATGTGACTCAATGGCAAAGCACTAAGTTTGATCCCCAGTACCACCAAAARAAAAAGAAAAGATTTTAAGGAAGGATTCCATGGGGAAAATAATGAGAAATGAAAAAAAAGGAGAAGATATCTGGGGAGTCTGAAACCAAGAAGGCATCAGTATCTTGAGCACACATGGAAGTCTCAATAAGCCCCCATTCTGGGGATGGGGACAGAATCGTCCCACAGGCGCCCATGTCCTGATCCTGGCACAGCAGGGATAACATGCAGAGGGCTTGGGCTGTGAGCCAGGCTGACCTTTATGTGAGATGATCCTGCTTAGGTCCTTCACATGTGGAAGAGTGGGCAGAAGGTCAGTCACATCTAAAGGTGTCAAGTTGCCGGCTTTGAAGGTGGAAGAGCGGGTGGCCTCTAGGTGCTGCAGGCTCTCCTAGGGCCTTCAGGAGGAACACAGTCCTGCAGACCCTGGAGTCTAGCCCAGCGAGGTCTGTGTCAGACATCTGACTTCCAGAACTGTGAGATCATCCATTTGTATTGTTTTAAGCCATTAAATTTGTGCTTTGTAACATCAGCAACAGGAAACTAACATGCACTGTAACTTCTGAATAAAAATAGGCAATGTGTCTGAAAGATAATTTACAGAAGAGGAAATGCAAAAGGCTGATGTGCTCCTAGTCAGAGACATGAAAACTAGAAGGACTTTACACCGCTTGGTGCAGCTTAGATCTGAGAAAACCGGAGGCTCCCAGACTCCCCACCAGAGGGCGCACAGGCAGGGCTGGAGAGTCACCAAGCTTGTGACCCATGGGTCAGGCATCTCTGAGGGGGTGAGATCCCCACACACAGCACAGCACATGCCGGTTGGGTACTGTGGGTGTGGATGCAGCAGGGATCTCAGTGTTCCTTCCTGGAAAAGAGTAGACATAAAACATGGTGGAAGCATGCCACAGAGCAGCTGGGCACCCTGTACTGGGTGTGCAGTGGGGAGCAGGTGTGGGCCTCGCAGCCCCGTGATGAGTGAACCTCCAGAAGGACTGGCAAGGTCAAGCCCTTGTTTTTATCAGTAAAGGCATGAATAGATAGCCAAGAACATGTAACACAAGCCGCATCCAACCCTGGAGGGGGTTCCTGAGGCGGTGCTCCGTGGGCTTGACTCAAGAATGGGACTGTGACAAGTAGCCTAAGGGCAGCCTTGCCTGGAGCTGCCGTGTGGAGGGGCTGCATGTTCAGCACAGTCAGCACAGCACATCAGCCCCTTCCGAGGAAGGGGAGAAGAAGGAGTCTCAAGAAAGGAACAATGAACGAAAAGCAAAGGAAATGGTTTTAAATCCTCAAGTTGAAGCACTGAAGGGGCTCAAGCCAGCCTGCTTCACAGCTTGGTGAATCGAGCCCCAGAGAGGCCAGGTAGTGGGCTCAGTGTGGGGACTAGACCATGGATTGAAAGCTCAGACAAGCGCTTCCTGCCCTGCCTGTGCAGGTGTCCCTGCCACTATCCTTTGTTAAAATGTATTTTCATTTTAATTACAGTAAAATGTATGTGACTTAGAATTTTGTGTCTTAACCACTTCTCTGTGCACAGTCCAGGGCATTAGGAACTTTCACACTGTTGGGTGCCACCTCCAGAACTCTTCATCAGGCACAACTGGAACTCTCACCATGAATGACCCCCTGCTCCCCTGCCCCAGTCCCTGCCACCCACCTTTCTTCTTTCTGTCTCTCATTTGATGTCATGTGAGTGGGATCGTTCATGACTTTTCTTCCTGTGACTGGCTTATTTCACTTTGCACCATGCCGTCAAGGTCTATCTCCACTCACCCATCCACAGACACTCAGGCTCCCCCCACCTCTCAGCTGGTGTGAGTAATGCTGCTGTGAACAGAGATGTACAATATGTCTTCAAGACCTTGCTCTCAACTCTTGTGGTATATATCCAGAAGTATCATTGCTGGGTCATATGGTAATTCTATTTTTAATTTTTTGAAGAGTCACTGAACAATTTTGCCTTCCTGTCAACAGTTCACCAACTTCTTTTTTCTTTTTTTTTAAATCATAGCTACCCTAATGGGCATGGGTTGGTATCACATTGTGGTTTTGATTCACATTTCCCTCATGATTGGTAACTATTTTATGTGACTAAAATGAAATTCCTAAGTTTGGGTACTTTATTTATTTATTTTTTAAAGATTCTTATTTAGAACACAGCCCTGAAAGCTCACGGGCATGGCACCACACCTGTTCCGTCGTGGTAAGGCCTCATGGTGGATGGCATCATGCTGGCGGAGCGTGTACAACAGGGAGGGACCTTGTGGAGAGGCAAGAAACCAGAAACTGACCAGGACTGGCTGGGGTTCCATAGGAACCGGTTCCCGATCCCTCCTGAGGGCACACCCCCAGCGACCTCAGGACTCCCGCAGACCCCACCACCTGTTAGCAGCATCACCCTGAGGACCGAGCCCCAGCGTGTGAGCCCTTGAGAGCAGACCTCATCCATCCACAGCCGTGATGTGATCACCTTTTCATGGCTTGCTGGCCATTGGTCATCTTTTTTGGAGAAATGTGTGTGCAAATCCTATGCCCATTTTTTCAGTTGAGTTGCTTGGATTTTGTTGGGTTGTAAGAGTTCTTTATATACTCTATATTAACCCCTTACCAATTGTATGATTCAAAAGATATTTCTCCCAGTCCATGTTGCCCTCTCACTCTGTTAATCATGTCTCTTGCTGCACAGAAATTTTAAATTTTGCTTATAGTTTATTTTCACTTTTTGCTTATGCTTTTGATGTCATAGCCAAGAAATTATTATGAAATCTAATATCATGAAGGTTTGGACTATTTTCTTCTAAGAGCTTTGTGGTCCCAGCTCTTATGTTTCAGTCTGATTTGGG